CCACCAGGGCCACTAAGGGGCCACCCAGGGCCACCAGGGTCATCAATGGGACCACCAGGGCCACTGTGGGGTCACCCAGGGCCACCGAGGCCACCAAGGGCCACCAGGGCCACCCCGGGCCACCAGGGCCACTAAGGGGCCACCAGGGCCACTGTGGGGTCACCCAGGGCCACTGGGGCCACCAAAGGCCACCAAGGGGCCGTCAGGGTCACTGTGGGGCCACCAAGGGTCAGCAAGGCGTCACCAAGGACCACAAGAGTCACCAATGGGGCCACCAGGGCCACCATGGGCCACTGTGGGGTCGCTGAGGCCACCAGGGCCACCAAGGGCCACCAATGGGGCCACCAGGGTCACCAAGGGTCACCATGAGCCACTGTGGGGTCGCTGAGGCCACCCAGGGCCACCAAGGGGTCACCCAGGGCCACCAAGGGTCACCAGGGCCATCAGGGGTCACTGTGGGGTCATCCAGGGCCACCATGGGGTCGCTGAGGCCACCAAGGGCCGCCAGGGCCACCAAGGGGTCACCCTGGGCCACCACGGGGTCACTGGGGCCACCACGGGCACGGCCAGAGCCATCGAGGGCCACCACGAGGCCACCGCTGGGGCCACCCCAGGGAGAGGCGAGGGGTGGCCAAGGCCACCGTGGGAACAGCCAGGGCCACCACGGGCCACCAAGGGCCACCAGGGCCATCGATGGGGCCACCGCTGGGCTGGACTGGGCCACCACAGTGAGAGGCAGGGGCCAGCCGGGGCCACCATGGGGCCACCAAAGGGACCAGAGGAGCAACCAGGGCCACAGAGGGGGTGGCCACGGCCACTACAGGGACAGTCAGGGCCACCACGGGGACAGTCAGGGCCAACCACGGGATCAGGGCCACCGTGGGGACAGTTTGGGCCACCACGGGGTCAGTTTGGGCCGTTGTGGGGACAGTTTGGGCCACTGTGGGGTCCCCAAGGCCACTGTGGGGACGGTTTGGGCCACCACGGGGTCAGGGCCAGCACAGAGTCAGTTTGGGCCACCACGGGGTCAGTTTGGGCCACCACGGGGTCAGTTTGGGCCACCACGGGGTCTCTGGCTCCCGTGGGGACAGTTTGGGCCACCCCGGGGCCCGTCAGGGGCCACCTGGGGCCGGTCACGGACAGGAACCAATAAAGGTGACACCAGTTCGTGGAGCCCCGTCTGTGCTGGGGGGG